ATACCTCCCGATGGATAAACCCTCCTGCACCGCAGCGAGGACGACGCAGGACGCTGCTTCCTCTCGCGATCTCACGATAGAATGGGTGACGCGGGAAATATCTGGTGTTCCTGTAGGAACGAGAGTTTTATGGAAGAGGAGGAGGCAAGAGTAGGTTAACGCTGCCTGCTGCCGTGCTGGGAAGGCTTTGGGAAATGGCCTCTGCGTTCGCTGGCCCCACAGCAGTGCTGGATGTAGTTAAAGACCTAGACACTCAGATAGCTGTAAGTAACACGCCGGGGCTTGGCGCGGGGCCGGCATGCGGGATTGCTCCCGGGAATCTGCACACCCCGTTAGTTTTGTGTCTGGTGATCTTAACGGCACGTGAAGGGCGCGGTAAGATCCGGAAAGAAGTGAACAAAACGACTCTGTGGTGATAAAGTGCTTTCTGCCCTGCATGGTGGGTGAGAGCTGTGAAGCGAGAGGCTGAACAGCCTGAGAGCGGCCTCAGCTAAAACCAAGCCGGCACGCTGGGGTCCCTCCTGACAGTGGCACTGAGCTCCTCATCCAGAAATGCCAGCTGAGGGGTTTCATGGTGCCAGAGCAATGGTTTTCTGTTGTTAATTCAGTTAAAATTGAGCTAGAAACTTGCTGAGGGCGCTGCAGAAATGCATTTTGGATATAAATTCTGGAAGGGCTCCGTGTCCGTCGGTGCGGCAGTGCATGAGCGTCCCTTGGAATGCAGCACTAAAGCGGCCGCTTCTCAGTGCTCCCGTGTGATTTCTGGTTTGTGTTTTGGTGTGAATTAACCCAGACTAACAAAGCTTGCTCTGGCGAGGGGAAAATGTCTGTTTGCAGCGCAGGTAGCGGACGCTCTGCTCATCGCTTTGTGTGCGAGCGTGCTGCAAAGCTGTTTGAACAAACTCTCTTCTCTCGTACGTAAGCTCCCCCTGCGACGGCCGGGCTGCTCAGAAGAGGCGTCGGCTCCCCGCGGCTGCTCCTCGCCTGGCCCTGGGCCCAGCAGCAGCTGCCTCAGCCGCTGCGCGAGGGCCTTTCGGAAGGTCCGGGGTTTGGACGAGTTTCCTTTTACGGAGCAGTAAGGAGAGAGCAAAGCTTCATCAAGGCCGGGGTTTAGAGCCTTCCAGCCAGAAAATACAGTAGTCACCAGGCAGCTCAGTGGGCAAAAACCTGAACAACTCCAGGGACCGAAGGGTGAACCCGGGAGATCCGAGTAACCAGCGCAGCTGCCGCAACCCGCTGCTGGTTCACTGTTAACAGCTCAATAACTCCGACTTCGTTTGCTGTGGCTGTCGGTTGCCCGGTGTGGGAAGGTTTGGGCAAACGCCCATGTTGCTCTGTTACCTCTGAGGACCCAGATTTGTGCTTTCGGAACCAAAAACGAACCCTGCAGTGTTAAGCCTGCACAGAGGGATGGCTGCAGGCCGGGCTTGAGGTGTGGCATTGCCAAAAACGAGACCTCCACCCCGCGGCAGGCACCCGAGGGAGCTGGAGCCCTGGCATCTTCTCCGAGTGGAGACAAAGACTCAAATGGCGCGCCTGGCGTTCCCTGCGTC